ATCTAAACAGGAAAGTTGGAGCATACCTGAAGAAAAAGAAAATAATCCCCCCTTGCAAGGAAACGCCGAGCAACGTGAGAGAAAGAGAGAAAAATAATATAAAATAGGATTGTGGGTCCCACAATTATATTAAAAAAATTATAGGTTTGAATTTAATTATTCAAACCTTTGGGCCATTACTTGCAATTTTCAGAAATTGCATCTTGAGCCATTTATTGTAATTTTCACAAATTGCAAAAATTTCTCTTTTGGCTTTCTTTGCAATGCGCCTCCTCCTTTTATACATGAGTATGCACCTTTCCTTCTCACATCTAATCGATGTGGGACTAAACTCCCTCCCCTTTTTTTTTACTTTCTTTTTCTTTTTTTTTAACTCACACACAAAAAAAATAATATTTATATATTCTAAATCTTAACAATTATATCTTATCTAAACATTTTTTATGAAATTTTAAACCTAAGTTTTTATTCATAATTAAATACCTAACCATAATATTATTTTTAAATAACCTCAAATAATATAAATTCTTATTATTATCATTTTTTTATCCTTAAAACATAAATTCCATAATTTCTTTATTATATAAAAATTAGGATGTTACACATCCTACTCTGATGAGGATGTTTGCAACATTAAAGTTGAATTGTTATGATGGCTTATGAGCCACGCGAAGAACTCCAAACGTGAGGTTGTGTTGCAACTCCTTGTAAGTGACAATGCCAAGAAGAGGTGAAGCTAAATTACTTGTTTCAATTATTAATAATGTCAATGTTCTAAATTTTGATATGTTATTATTGTCATGAAATTGCTTGGAATTGACTTTTTTGTTGGTATCATTCAATTATAATGCAAATGAAGAAGAGACGAAGCTGAATTACTATTCATTTATGTTTTTTTAAAACTATCTTTATAACTACAAAGATGTCCTCTTATGTCAACTAAGGGTGGTGTAACAAACAAGTTATCTAAATAGAGTAGTAACATTCTATGCATTAATTAACTACATATAGTAGTATAACGAATAAGTTATCCTAACTTGAAACCAGTCATTTTGAGCAGTTAGAGTTTTTTGAAGTTAGTGTTATTAAGAGTAAGGTGAGGCCATAAATAATATATTGTAAATAAATGAACCGCACAAAGTAAGGTGATAAACAAGTCATCTAAACACGAAATTAACCTATACTTGGAATTTTTGCAGCCACCCAGTGTGATATCAAATAAGTTGGGTAAGTAAATTAACACGATGTGCTAAGTAAAGAAACCAAAAACAATAGGGTGATGAACAAATCACCATAGAGACTTATGAGTTAGTGTTGAAAACCAACTTCCTACTAATAAAGTAAGTCTTAATTATACCGATATGTTCTACCGGTATGTATGGAGAACATATCGGTATGAAATCAACATACCAATAAGAATGAGGCTTCCATAGCAGCCTCATCCATACTGATAAAGTTTTTATTATATTGGTATGAAATCAACATATTGGTAAGAATGAGGCTTCCATAGCAGCCTTTTTGATACTAGTAAGTCTCACTTCTAACAGTATGTATGGATAACATACCGGTATGAAATCAAAATACCAATAATAATGAGGCTTCTATAGGGGCCTTATTTTATATTGATAAATCTCACTTATATTAGCATGTATGGAGAACATATCAGTATGAAATCAACATATCGATAAGAATGAGGCTTCTATAATGCCTCATTCGTATGGGGTAAGTCTCCATTATATTGGTATGCAATATACATACCGGTATGAAATTAACATATAGGTAAGAATGAGGCTTCTATAACTGCCTCATTCATATTAATAAGTCTCACTTATACTGGTATGTATAGATAACATATCGGTTTGAAATCAACATACCAGTAAGAATGAGGCCTTCATAGTGGCATCATTCATACTGGTAAGTCTCACTTATACCGGTATGTAATATACATATCAGTATCACATACACGTACTGGCAAGAATGAGGCTTCAATTATGGCCTCATTCATACTAGTAAGTCTCCATTATACTAATATGTAATATACATATCGGTATGAAATCAACATATAGGTAAGAATGAAGCTTCAATAGCAGCCTCATTCATATCGGTAAGTCTCCATTATACCAATATGTTATAAGCATACTGCTATCACATACACATGCTGGTAAGAAAGGTAAGTTTTCTCGATCTTCTTCTCTTAATCTCAACCATTCATTTCTTATGTACATCCAATGACTACTAGTGCATATCAGTATGTTAAAAACCTATTGGCATCGTCTCAGCTTGACAATTACCATCTCTTCACCAAAGCCAAATTTCCTTTGTGGTTATCTCCTAAACACTCACTCGATCAAAACCCTAAACATAATCTCTGCTTACACCTCTTAAATCTTTAATTCAATCTAATCATATGTCCTATTCTTTCAAGAAGATGGCTTGAGTGAAAACGATAGAGATGTCACTCGCGGATCAAGGAATCAATTCGAATGACTTTCACGAGACTTGTGATCTCGTTACGAAGAGAAAAAGAATGAGTAGAAGTACTTGAAGAATAAAATTGAGGTGTTGAACAAAGCAAAACAAGTTACCAATGCTCAAAAGAAGCGCAAAGCATCTGTGAAGAAGGTTAGGATTTAGTTAAATAAGGCTACAAATGATAATGCTACTTCTCAAAATCCTAAAGGTATTGGATTTGATAAGTCTACTATTGAAGGTCAAGCTTTTGTGCGTACTAAGTCAGATTTTGAGAAGACTCCTCATGATGCTCTTGCTCATCTCAAAAGCTCTGGCAATGTGAACGTTGATGAATTTACAGTACAGAGCCTATCATTTATTGTAATGAAGTAGAGCATTTATGAAGATCACAAGTAGTTTTTAATAATCAAGCCGTACCACCCTATCATATTTAATGTTGTTCCCAACCACAAAACAAGTTGCAAAATAGATGGGGGGACAAAAGACAGGTCGAAGGGAGAGAAGATAGGTCTTACTTGATCACATCTACTTATGTTCCCAACCTCAAATCAACTATACTTTCATAGAGATTAAAGAACAGAATCATAGTATAGTTTAGTTAACTCACCAAGTGATCGTGATGTTGGAGAAGGTGAGAGAGAGAGAGGGGGAATGAGGGGAACAGAGCATTTTCGTGCTTCTTCTCTTCCATCACAAGCTTTTAGCTTTCTTTTTTCTCTCCACTAAGGGCAACTTTGTCATTTGACTTTCCATATTAATATGAAATAAGGACACAAGGCTTGCAATGAGATATCATATATTTTCTTCTTTATTTTTAAAGGGAAATTTTCTTTAGTCTGGGGGTCCTCACTGAAATTTTCCCTTTTAAAAAACTATTTATCCATTTTGAGAAGAGATAAAAACAAATTAGATAGGCCTTTATAGATTAAAAAGGATCCTAACATATTCAAAGAGATAAACCATATATATTATATTCAAAGAGTAACGACTTAACCGGGGATGACAAAATTTGAATTGACAACAACGTACATGCTTGTGTAAACGTCATAGCATCTTGTTTGTCCCGACATTTTTTTTGACCAAATCGCTTCTTCGTAGAGTTTTATGTTGAGACAATATTGAACGAGAATAAAGAGAAGTAAGAATAAAACAGACTGAAGAAATACATAAGTCTGGGATTTAAAAAAGAAAGAAAAGGAAATAAAAGAATACGTCAATTCCCTCGAAGGAACATCGAAGTCTCGTGGTTTTTACCCATAAAAAGGAAATCAAAAGTTGACGTCTTCATAATAAGCATTAAAGTAGACGAGCGTTGCATTTTTTTTTTTTTTGGGTGGGGGACTTTTAACCGAATGTCTTATCATAAATTGCTGGTTTTAAATATAAAAAGAAATAATCAACTCATACAATTTAAAAAAATATTTAAATATAATAGTTATTTTTTAAAAAAATAAAAAACTGAACTAAAATATCCTTATACGTAATCAAATAAATCTACATTAATATTTTGCCTCATAAATGAAAACTATGATTTTTTGAGGGGTAATTTAAAAAAATTATAATAAATGCTTATGGAAATGTGTATTTTTATTTATAAAAAAATAAAATATCGTGTGACAGTGTCTCCTATATTGAAAAATTGAAAAGGCATGTTTTGAGTTTTTTGGTTATACACCTTCCTTGTTATTTGTATTAGTTTTTGTCAGCTAAAATAGACGGAGTATCCAAATGAATCTCAAATTTTTGTTGGTGTTAAAGATGAAAGGGCAGACAGAGAGGGAGAAGGCATGGGAGAAAATTCAGAATACTTTATTCAATCAATCAATTTTATTTACAATAAGAAACCTTAATGTGACCATGTGAGTTGAATTAGCTTATTCTGAAGTCTTAACTTTGAGTTCTAAATTACTCATTCACATTACATAAATATATTAAAGGTAACATTAATAGTCCCACACAGTATAGGGGTTTGAATTAGTATGAACGGTGGTTGTAATACCCCATATTTCATAGAATACCGGGAAATAGAATAAAAAAAAACCTTAATTAGGCTAATATAGAGCTAGTCTAGAAATATTAATTGATTATCAACAATTAAGCTTTTGGATATATTTTTAATCAAAAGGTTTTGTTCAAACACTTTTTTTAAGTGTCTATTTTTAGTATTCTTATACTCCTCTTGACAAGGCTCAGGTGATTCAACAACCAAAATCAAATAATCCTAAAATAATCATAAATATTTAAAAATAACCCTAATTATCTCTAAACCGATATTCCATCACGTGTTTTTTATTTGTTTCAAAAATTGACTATAAAAAATATGAAAAAGGATTCCAAACTTATCTAAACATGAAGTCAATGAGTCATAGTCCAGAAAGCGACACTGATTTTAATTCCATGAAATGACATAACGTTTTACATGCTCAATATACCTCTATAAATACAAGCCCAGACATTAATCCCAATCTCAAATAAATATCAAATTCTCAGAGCCACAAGTTCGAAGTTCAAATCCAATAGAGAACATCATGCTGGTCAACTATCTCAAGCTAGCTTCCTCCCTTTTCAAATGGGTTTTAGATTTCCTTATCTACCACCCATTTTACAGCCTTCGTGTTCATTATCATCAACCTCTTCAAGAGTTTCATCAGATGTTTACTGAAGCAGAACAAGTAGAGACATGGCATCGTCGTGGAGAAGAAGTGGATTGTGCAGTGTGTCTCAGCAAGATTGGTGAAGGAGACGAAGTTAGAGTTCTGAGGTGTGAGCATGTGTTTCATAGGCTTTGTTTGAATCAATGGGTAGGTTTGGGGAATTATAATTGCCCTCTTTGTAGGGACTTTCTGGGTTCTGGGAATAGGGCTATTAATGGTGATGAGGGAAGAGACGTGCATGTGCTCTTCTTCAAGTTTTCTTCCTTTTCTAGTGATTCAGAGCGTGACAACTGGTGGCTACGGTGACAGTGAGCAATTGGTCTACATGAACTAATTATATATGGCTTTCGAATAATATAATTCTCAATGAATAATTATATCTAAATATATATATTTACTTGTGGTATCGTTTTGGATGAATCGTGAGATATGGAGTACTTTTCTCTCTGTCGAATTTAACCTTAAATTTTAACCTCATGCTATGCACATAGAAGTATTTATGTAATGAACTTGAATTATATAAAAATGATTTCAATATGAAAAATTTAAGAGTGAAATGCATCCATTGATCTCCCATATATTTCATCTTAATATTATTGAGACATTTTTTTATTTTTAAAATCTATATAAACTTCTTTTAAAATTATAAGCCACATAACATGGAGATTCTACTTTCATTTATTCCACCATTAGTTGATCATTAAATCATATATTATTAAATTTAAAATAGTAAAAAAGTATGGGAGGAATGACAATAAAGTCTTAAAAGAGAAAATTTATGATAGTTAATCGGGTCCTCAGCAAAATTTCTTAAAATATAAGTTATAAATATTGAGTTAGACAATCACAAGCATGTATCTTAATTGCAAAATGAGAGTTATATTTAAATTTTTAATATTTTATTTATAATTGAAAATCTTGAATTTGTGATTATTTGAATCAATATTTTTATATTGTTTTTCAAAAAATTCCATCGACAACCCAATTACTACAAATTCCCTCTTTTGGGAAAACTGCAAACTGAAAGGTACATTTAAAATTTAAATATTTTATTTACATGGGAATTTCCAATGTGACTCGATATAATTTACAAGTTATTTATCAAAAAATTTTATCGAAAGTCTAACTCACATTAATTCTCTATTTCAGATCTATATGCGTGTCGTACTCCCAAAAGAATAAATATCCCATGTTAAACTTGCATAGAAATTACATAAGGCTATTCCATGGTCTGACAAATTATAATATCATCTCACAGTTGCCAACAATCTTGACTGGAGGAGGGATCCTGAGTTCTACAATAATGGTCAAGAAATTATACATTTCAAAGATCTGATAATTTCCATGATAAACAGTAACCAAATGGACTCACTCAAATCAAAAAAGTAATTGTCTTGGTTAATTTTCAAGGCTCAATCTATTACCAGAATAACTTTGTGCATGGTCTGCTGGTCTAGTCTGAATCTGACATCGAGTCGGTTCCACAAAAGATATTATATATTTCAACATTTCACCGCTCTGTGTTTTTGACCTTCTTTGGCTTGTGCGATTGCTTCGTCTCATCTCCCAATAGCTACGTTTCACTCAGTCTGATTGATTACTGTTGATATTTTCTTCCTCTTTTTTTTTTCGTGTTTTTTAAGATGAAATTCATTTAAAGATGAGATGTTTTGGTGTCCCATGGGCGTTTCGTCGTTGACAAGTCCACGTCAACATATTATGACAGTTCCCCCGCACGAGGACGTTGAAGACGTCATTGTTGACAAGTCTCGCAGCTACCATTATAATGGCTTATTTGTGGTATCTCAAGATTAAATTTTATCATATCAATATCATTTTTTTAATAGCACAAGTACGTGGAAGGGATTCAGTTTTACTTAATTTTTTTTAAAAAATGATAATAAAATTCCTTTAAATTATATAAATAATTATTTAATCACTCAAAATGTCATAATTTCAATAAAATCTCTATGGACCTCCATGTTAATAAATTTTAAACTGAAAAAACTATTTTACCTTTATTAAAAATAACAAACCTCAATAATGATTTTTGTTTTTATAAATCGCAACAATTGAATGAAAAATCACAACTTATCAAGTATAATTTTTGTTATTGAAAAACAAACTCTAATAACAATTTTTGTTTAAAGAATAACAAGTTTTATTTTGTGAATTGCAAGAATTGAACAAGAAATCACAATTTATCAAGTGTAATTTATATTATTGAAATAAGTTCTCAAAATAACAAACCTCATTTACTACCTTTATTTAAAAAATTACAACTTTTATTCAAGGAATCATAAGAATTGAATAAGAAATCACAACTTGTTAATAAAAGTAAAATGATCTTTATTTTCAATTTAATATTTATTGACAAAGAGGTCCCTAGGGTAAAATGGTTTTTATCTTCAATTTAATATTTGTTGACAAAAAGATCCTTTTGGACATTAGTAGAACTATGGCATTTTGAGGGAGATTGTTATTCATATAATTTGAAGAGATTTTATTATCATTTTTTTTATTGTTGTTTTATTACCCACAGGTATTCTCCTACTATGAGAGGCAATCATGTTTGAGGCACTATTAGGCATTGCATATGGATACCTCTCCTAGCAAAGATTTGAATTTTGATTTGCCATATTGTGGGGAATTATCCTCTTTTAATTATTAAAATCTTATGTTTGATTTTTTTATTGGGTAAAGTCAAATTTTTTGTGAGTTGGGTCTTAAAGGTTCAGCAAGACTAGGGAATGCCTTTAGGTTTAAAAAATATTTATAGAGATATTCATAAATCATCCACTAACAAGGTCTTTACATCGATGGTGTAATTTGATCAAATGACCTTGTAAGTTAAATCTTGTGTTTAATCTTGTTCATAAAAGTAACTACATCTATGGTTTAATGCTAGTTAACTAAATTCAAAATATATTAATTGGGTCTTAGGATTCACTAGGGTTAGGGCATGATCTTTCAAAAAGATGACCAAAGAGAGGAAATTTCCCAAAAAGCAGAGACCAAAGAGAAAGGTCACTCAAATCATCCACACCCTTCACTTTCAGCATCTTCTCTTAATATGTTGCAGCAAACTTTGCACTGCTCACTTCCATGTCTTCCATGTGCATCTGTAACAAACTTTGTTGTGCATGACAACAATCCAAATGAATCCCATTCATTCATGTGTTTTGTTTGCGTCCGGTATGAGCACTGTCCAGATTTTCAATATTGAACCAAATTTTCAGGTTCTATTTTATATTTATTTAAATAAAAATTATAAAATTTTAATAAATCTAGCTTATCATCAATTTGGATAATGCATATTTAATCTGGATTATATAGTCCAATTTAGTATTAACTATTTTTATAATTTTTATAAATTGACTATCAAGATATAATCTAAATAGTTTACATTTTAAATTTTAAATCATAAATTTTCTTAATTTTTTAAATTTCCATTTTAATATCATCTTTATTTTTATTTTTTAATATTATATTTACTAAAAATAAAAATTTTAAAAAATTAATATTAAATCTAGACTATCCATGATATATCTAGATAATCAATTTATAAAAATTATAAAAAATTTAATATTAAATTAGACTATCCAGATAAAATTTAGATTGTCTACTTTGATAATGAGGTAGATTTATTAAAGTTTTATATTTTTTAAATAAATATAAAATAAAAATATAAGAAAAACCTGTAAATCTAATCTGTATGGTACGAATGTTTACAAGTGATAAGCACCAAAACTAAATACATTTTGTTTCTAAAATTGCTTTTGAAAAAGTATTTAAAAAAGAATGTCTCCGCGTAACTCGTCTAACACATACACGCGGAGTACATGAAGTCGTGGTTATCCAGAAAGCAACCATTGATATTTTTATTTCCGTGAAATGTTTTGCATGCTCTCAATAGTCAATATGACTCTACAAATGCAAGCCCTAACGTTAAAATTCCAACTTCAATACAAATTCACAAAGCCACAAGAAGTTCTAAGTTCAAACCCATGATCATAATCACCAGATTTTTCATCCTACTATGCAGCATGCTCTTCAACTACATCAAGCTAACTTCGTCCTACTTCAAATGGGTTTTAGAGTTCCCTCTCTACCACCCATTTTACAGCCCTTGTGTTCTTCATCATCATCATCAACCTCTTCAAGATTTTCATCAGATCCTTACAGAGAAGAACAAGTGGAGATATGGCGTCGTCGTGACGAAGAAGAAGTGGATTGTGCTGTCTGTCTGAGCCAGATTGGTGAAGGAGACGAACTTAGAGTGCTGAGGTGTGAGCATGCTTTTCATAGGCTTTGTTTGAATCAATGGGTGGGTTTGAGGAATTATAATTGTCCTCTTTTCAGGGATTTTCTGGGTTCTGGGAATATGGTTGTTAATGGTGTCAAGTTTCTTGCTTTTTCTGGTGATTCTGAACGTGACAACTGGTGGCTACGGTGAGTCATGCGATAGACAAATTAATTAAGAGCATCAGCATCAACTAATAAAGTAAGAATGTGATGGAATATGAGATAAGATATAGTTAGGGTTATTTTAGATATTTAGGATCCTTGAATACGGATATATATATTTAATAACGCTAAATTATTAATTAGAATTTAATTAGATTTTCTTATTATTAGATTTTACAATCATCTTAGATTTTAACATTTCCAAGGTTTAATATATAAGTCCCTCGTGCAAGTGGAACTTTATTTGAATAAAATATTTTATATTTTTCTGATAGAGACACTTTATTAAATAAGAGTAAATATAAAAAATATACAATTTTAAATATAATTAAGTAATTCATTGTAATTAAGGTGTAATTCAATTAAAATATTTTATAATACAATGAAAGAATAAGGAAATAGTAAGAGTCAAAACCAGATTGAGTGAAGGAAACGTAGTTGTTGGGAGTTGAAAAGAAAATTGACCAAGGCATCCAAACAAGTAATTGCCTGGATTCCTCCTCGAGACATCCAAACAAGTAATTGTCTCACGGTCAATTTTCTTTTTGTTTTTTGTTTTTGGGCAGAGTCTTGGTCAATTTTAAAGGATCAATCTATGACCTTAATAAGTCGTGCATGATCTGGTCTGATATCTAATTGGCTCTACAAAAGATATTATATATTTCAACATTTTACCGCTCTCTGTTTTTCCCCCCTTCGACTGTTTCGTTCAACCCCCAATAACTAACGTTTCCTGGCCTTCACTCAATCTGGTTTTGACTCTTACTATTTTCTTAGTCTTTCGCCGTATTATAATATATTCTAATCAAATTACACTTTATAATGAATTACTTAATTGTCTTTAAAATTACACACTATCTATATTTACTTTTGTTTAATAAAATGTCTCAATTAAAAAATCTTAGTAATTACACCCCTAATTTTAAAAAAATTATTGATTACATTTTGAAAGACTCAAAATGTCTTATATTTTTAGAGTTAAAGGGAAAAATGATGCATGGATATCAATTAACTTTAATTTCAAATACTCGAATTGTTAAATATAATTTTATTTTATTTTTTAATTTTTAGTCAATTTCAATTTTTATCTTAAAAAAATAAGATTTTCAATTTTTATTTAATTTTAATTTTATTTTATTAGTAATAAAAAATAATTTGGGAATTCAGGCCAAGGACATTTAGATTCAAATTTGGCTTGGATTTTTTTAAGCTTATTTGGATAGCATGAATAGTCTCAAAAAAAAAAAAATCTACACTCATAAGTTTAACCCTAAATTTTTTGAGTTTATTTGAGCTGGCCTATTAGGTATGGCCTAAATTACTAGTTCCAACCTTCCCTAATTTATTAAAATAACTTGTCATTGAATATTAATATAAACCTAGCCCATTTGAATTACTAGTTCTAGGAAAAGTTAGCCTCTTTTATAAAGTTAATAAATACCATATATCATTCTTGACTTAAGGATACAAAAAACTCATAGAAAAAAAGTTTTTAGGTATTTTTGCTTCTTAACCTAAAATCTTGGGCAGGGGTGGAATATCCAAGATATAAAGGAAGGGTGGAGGGCCAAATTTGAATATAGGATTAAAGATAAAAATATCTATCAATTTTTTTCCAAGAACATCTAGTATCTTTAATAAATAAGAGTAAAAAATCCCCACGGGCACAATTTTCGCAAATGTCCATTAGTTTTACATACCTAGCATGATTGTGCAACCCAGTCTACAAAACTAACGGACATTTGCCATTTTTCATGGCTAGGGAAATTGCACTTGTTAAAACAATTTTATGGGTATTTTTATACCCTTATTCACTTAAAAATATCAGGTGTTCTTGAAGCAAAAATTGATAAGTATTTTTATTCTTTAACCCTTGAATATATATAAATTTTTTGAGATATTTTTATTATTTAGAAAAAAATATTATTAAAATATTTTTGTAATATGAGAAAATGATAAGATAAGAATATAATTTTTAAAAAAATAAAAAAAATAAAATTAAGTCATATTTTTTATACATATAATACAAAATTTAAAACAATTAAGCAACATATAGAATATAAATATTAAATTTCAATTTTTTTATTAATATAATTTATCATGCAACAATAATAAAAATATTTTTATAAATCAATATAGTATATAATTTATTTTTTGTTTAATATACAAATAAGAAATTGTGTGAGAGAGAGAGAGAGAGAGAGAGTTGGTTTGGCCCAAAGAAGAGAGAGACAGTGAGAGAGAGTGGTATTTTTGACAATGGTTGAAGGCCCACCCAATTATTCCACATGCGGCAACACAATGCACCCTCATATTACCCACAAAAAAAAAAAAAAAAAGATGTAGATGTAGGTCCGCCCCTAATCTCGGGTCCATGTTAACATATGCTCAGCCATTTTTACAGTTCGAAAAAACATACTCTATGTACCAAAAAAAAAAAAAACATACTCTCATTAAAAAGAATTAATATGGATACTACTATTTTTTTATTAATTTAAAAATATTTAGAAAAAAAAATTTAGAATATTGAATAGAGGGAATAGTTTAATGGTTGATAATGTTTTACGTGTTCCATACACATTTCATGGTTGACACGCAGAAGGCGCTTGAAAACGTAAACTCTCACAACTCTCTCTGAATTATAATATAAATTATTATTAAATAATTTTTGTTTATTAAAAAATTGGTTAAGATCTTAATTTTCTAAAAATTTTCAGATCTTTCCAACCATGCCCTCAACTATAATAAATATAACATTTAACTTATTCAAAACACTTTTATTAATTACTCTATATAATATAAGGGTGTAATTAAAAATATATATAATATCTACACGATGCATATATGTTGAACTAGAGTTGGAAAAACAGGCTTAAATGATTTAAATTATGGCTCGAGACTTGAGAGTACTTCTCGAATGGCTTATTTGTGGTAGCTCAAGATTAAATTAACATATCATGATTAGTTATTAATAACACAATTTTCCATAATTAAAATCCATGACAAAAAAAAAATGACCAATTTTTTTTTTCAATAATTAAAATCTTATGTTAGATCTTGTTCATAGAACAGGCTCTCATCTTATCCCAATTTATAAGGTATGTTCTTGACAAAATTACACATGTAAATAAAGTTCACTACATGCAGTTTACAATTTTAATTTCTCCATAAACTTTTAAAAATACGTTTGACTAGTAAGTGAGAAGGAAAGAATTTATTTAAGAAGTGAAATAATGAGAGGTAATACAGAAATGAGAAAAACTTATATATTTAATGTATTGGTTTTCAATTAAATCAAGATGTGTGGATCTTTTATGAATCATTTGTTGTATTATAAGATCTTGTTATTAATATTATTAACACATTAAAAAATCCACTTGTCTTGAATTTTATTAAATTAAAATAAATTATATTAAGTATATAAAGCTTTATAAGTCTCCCCCTATTAGAATAATCCTCATTAATAAAATCTTATTTTTTTGGACACCAAATTACTCAAAAAAAAAAAATCTTATAAATTGAGATAGAGGGAGCATATTATAAGAAAACAAGCTTCGTTATATTTATGATTTGATACTACTAGCTACTTAAATTCAAAATGCTTGGTGATGATATCAGACACCAGATAGTTATTAAAAAAGAACCCCAATTAAACACATCTACGTAAAGCCAAAACTGTATAAAAAGGATGGCACTGTATTTATAGACACGATAAACCTTCACACTCTACTGTCCAATCAATCAATAACTGAAACTTATGTTAGAAAAATTGTAAATAGAAAATGAATGCATTAATGTTGTAGATTGTGAATATCTAATGCATTTTGGTGAGTTATATATTTCTGCATCAAGTTTGAACTTTGAACTCTATAATTTGAAGTTTATGTATTGCATTTTGTAAAGTAAAAATAGATTTTAAGCTGTTGAAACATTCAAATTAATAATCCCAACTACCCATTTAATTATTAAATCTCTAGCTCCCTCATTAAAATATAAAAAAAGATCGATTTCATTATCACATCAATAAATGTGTGCAGATAATGTTCACTAAACCAGTTGCACGCACGAAAAACACATTTATAAACATTAGAATCCACGCAGATCTGTTTAGTTGGAATTAATGTTCTCATTTTTATTTATGATCGTTATCTTACGATATGTTGGTTATAGGCAAGAGATTAATTAATTTTTTTAAAAAAGAAAAAAACAGAAAATAGCTGTGTTCTACTATATCCTTCACATTCAACCCTGTTTTCACTTAGCTAGCCATGTAACTTCTAATTAATTCAATTATCAGCCATCTTTAATTTTTTGCGCTTTTTTTTAATGATCAACAATATCTCAAACATATAAATTCAACAACGTATTCACGTCAAAGTAATTATGTTGTTATTGAGTATATTAGATTTTGTCTTTTTTTTTCCTTCATATATTACTTTTCATTGAATTTAAGAACCCAACAATTATTCTCTCTGTTTCTGTTTTATAAATAAGACTGGACGAAAGTAATCGACAAATTGAGTATACGTGATCGAAATGAGCAAGAAAACCATTGATTTTTTGAACATATTGATTCGACAAGCATAAAAAATTCATAAACCATATTTTTTAAGTTCTTCACTCTATAAATGTTGGAATATTAGGATGATTAATAGGTGACTAGAGTTAATCACACTATACCCTAAGGCCCTGTTTAATATACATGTCTCAATTTAGAAGGATTTGGATTGAGAGTGGGAATGAAGCGTTAAAATTATGTTTGGTATGGAGTAATATTTAGATGAAATACTTATCTTTATTTTATTTTATAATTAAATATAAATTATGAAAAGACAATAATGCCCATAAAATAATAAAGGGAAAAATCTGTAATCTAGAGACTATTAACTCATCACACACACGATCAGTTTCTTTCTTCTTCCGAGAGAGCACGGCGGTGCAAAAGACCACTCTTTTCCTTGTTGCTATTCCTTTTGTGGTTGTTCATTGTCTTATCTGATGGAGATCGAAGGAAAAAAACCCTCTTCTAGTTTTATTTGTCACATCTATGAGGGCGTGTCATATAAATTAGAGATGCACGCTAGTCAAATTGGTGCAAAAAAAACCTTCCCCTTTTCTCTTTTTGGACCAACGACGTAGATCAACAGAGTAAGACCTTCCTCTTCTCTCTTTCGGGACCTATGATAATGAGATCGGAGCAAAAAACCCATCATCATCATCACCTTGTGTCATCATTGTTGCTGTTCTTCTTTCTAATTCAAGGGAGAAGGGAGGGTTGTGTGTTGCTATGTAAATCAATTCAAAATCTGCGCTTGTGTGTGGCTGCCATCACCATTGTAGTTGTGAGGAGGGGTGGAGACTGGAGGCGAAGGGAGAGATGAGAGAGAGAGAGAGAGAGGGTGGAGGGCAGAGGGAGAGACGAGAAAGGGGAGTGATGGAGGTGGGTGGTATTGAGTAATCAAGCATTAATTTTTAATACTAGGAGGTGGGTGGTATTGAGTAACCCTACTAAGAGGGAGATTAACTTCTCATTACCCATACCAAATATGAAAAGGTGGGATTGCCCAATACCAATTCTAATCCCACTTTATCAATGCTTTGTACCAAACATGACCTAATTTTTATATAAAAGGTGTCATATACTGTTTTTAGAGGTTATGAAGTTGAAATCCTACCTCAAGAGGGAGATTAACTTGATCCTCATCTCATGGTTAGTCCCCATGTTTGGGGTTTGTACATACAAACCCTAGTGGGTTGATTGGATTTGAATAATCTCTTAGATAAAGAAACGTTGATGTGTATTGTTGTTGATTAATGAGAGCTTTTCATTAGTGTCCTTTTTCCTTAGACTTTCTCATCACCTAACATGCATATTATCAGGTTTAACACAAAAATTGGTAGATTGGGACCCATTGCTGAGCTACATGATAGTAAGGGGGCAAATACACCCCCTCACGTGGAAAATATTACAAGTATGAGATGTAAATTTTGCGACTATGCACTTCCTGCTCTTGATATTTTGCATCATCCAAATTAAAAAAAATATTTGAGTTCAAAAACTTATTAAATATAAAATAGTTTAATTATTTACATATGATATAAAGAGCGTATTTACATTAAAGATTATATCAACTTGTTCAATTGTTTTTTAAGGAAAAAATGATAATGAATATATTTATATTACTATAATTTTAGTCTTATAGGATAATTATTATTTTTTTAAAATATTAATTTTTTATTAAATTATCCTGTGCCTGCTGGCTTCGCTTCTTGGCTCTGCTACTATTGAAACCTCTCATAAAGTTCTTTGAGTTTTAATTTCCATCTATTTTGATCATATAATATTATACTGGCTATCCAAATGAATCCCATACATTCACGTGTTTTGTTTCTAAAATCGCTCTAAAAAGTAGTAAAAAATATCTCCTCATAACTCATTTGATACACACGTACGGAGTCCATGAAGTCGTGGCTATCCAGAAAGCAAACATTGATATTTTTATTTCCGTGAAATGTTTTGCATGCTCTCAATAGTCAATGTGACTACAAATACAAGCCCTAACGTTAAAATTCCGACTTCAATACAAATTCACAAAGCCACAAGAAGTTCTAAGTTCAAACCCATTATCATAATCACCAGATTTTTCATCCTACTATGCAGCATGCTCTTCAACTACATCAAGCTAACTTCGTCCTACTTCAAATGGGTTTTAGAGTTCCCTCTCTACCAACATTTTGCAGCCTTCGTGTTCATCATCATCATCATCATCATCAACCTCTTCAAGAGTTTCATCAGATCCTTACAGAAGAAGAACAAGTGGAGTCAGGAGATATGGCGTCGTCGTGACGAAGAAGAAGTGGATTGTGCAGCGTGTCTGAGCAAGATTGATTAAGGAGATGAAGTTAGAGTGATGAGGTGTGAGCATGTGTTTCATAGGCTTTGTTTGAATCAATGGGTAGGTTTGAGGAATTATAATTGTCCTCTTTGCAGGGTTTTTAATATCTGGGTTCTGGGAATATGGTTGTTAATGGTGATGAGGAATGAGACGTACATGTGCTTTTCTTCGAGTTTTCTTCCTTTTCTGGTGATTCTGAACGTGACAACTGGTGGCTACAGTGAGTCATGCGATAGACAAATTAATTAAGAGCATCAGCATCAACTAATAAAGTAAGAAACTAAGAATGTGGTGGTGGAATATGAAAACAAAATATAGTTAGGGTTATTTTAGATATTTAGGATCCTTGAATAGGGATATTTAATAACCCTAAATTATTAATTAGAATTTAACTAGATTTTCTTATCATTGGGTTTTAGAATTGTCTTAGATTTTAATATTTGCAAGGCTTAATATATAATTCTCTCATGCAAGCTCGAACTTGATTTGAATAAAATATTTCATTTTTTTTAAATTGAGACACTTTATTAAATAAAAAGTAAATATAAAAAAAGTATGTAATTTTAAAAAAAATTAAATACTTCCTTCGATCCTTATTATAAACACTTTCAATTATTTCATGCATCTTAAGAGAAGTTAATTTTTTATATCATAAAAAATAAGATGTATTTTTTTTTATTCTTAATTTTAAATAATATTATAATTACATTAATATTCTCACGTTAATTAAGAAGGGATAAAATTGAAAAAAATGATTTAATTATTATAAGGTGTCTTATATTTAAATTAAAAATTATTTTAAAAAGTGTCTTTATAAATAAGATTAGAGGGAATAATTAATTGTGATTCAATTGAAAATATTTTATAATACAATGAAAGAAAAAGAAAATAGTAAGGGTCAAAGCCAGATTGTTGGGAGTTGAAAAGAAAATTGAGCGAGACATCCAAACAAGTAATTGTCTCACGGTCAATTTTCTTTTTCTTTTTGTTTTTTGTTTTTTTTTTTTTTTTGCCAGAGTCTTGGTCAATTTTAAAGGATCAATCTATGACCCTAATAACTCGTGCATAATCTGGTCTGATATCTAGTTGGCTCTGCAAAAGATATTATATATTTCAACATTTTACTGCTCTCTGTTTTTTTTCCCCTTCGGCTGTTTTGTTCAACTCCCAGTAACTAGCGCTTCCTGGGCTTCACTCAATCTGGTTTTGACTCTTACTATTTTCTTATTATCTTTCATTATATTATAAGATATTTTTAATCAAATTACACTCTATAATGAATTACTTAATTGTCTTTAAAATCACACACCTTATCTATATTTGCTTTTGTTGAATAAAATGTCTCAATTAGAACATCTTAATAATTACACCCCTAATTAAGGCTTTTGAAAAAAAAAAATTATTCATTACACCTTAAAAGACTCAAAATATTTTATATTTTTAAGGTTAAAGGGTAAAATGATGCATGAATATCCATAAACTTTAATATCAAATACTCAAATTTTTAGATATAATTTTATTTTATTTTTTCATTTTTAGTCATTTTCAATTTTTATCTTAAAAATAAGATTTTAATTTTTATTTAATTTTAATTTTTATTTTTAATAATATAAGAAAGATTTTAGGTATTCAAGCTAAATACTTTCAGATTCAGGTTGGCTTAGATTTTTTTTTTGACCTTATTTGGGCAACATGAATAGTCTAAAAATAAATAAATAATAAAAAATTCTAAACTCAAAAGCCTAGCCTAAAAATTTTGGGCTTATTTGGGTTGGCCTATCAAGCATGGCCTAAATCACCAATCCCAACCTTCCCTAATCCATTAAAGTAACTTGTCATTCAATATTAATATAAGCCTAGCCTGCTCAAATTACCAACTTTGGGGAAGGTTAGCTTTTTTTATAAAGTTAATGGATACCCATATATTGTAATATCTTAAGTTTTTAACTTAAAATTTGAGTGTTTAAGAAGGATAAATTGGTCAAAATATGTTATTTATAAACTAATGGTGTTTTGGGACACTAATAAATTTATTTGACCTTTAAACAGCCTTAAAAATGAGCTAAGATACATGTATAGGTCAACCGAGTTCAAGAGGGTGCCAAAAAAGGCAAGTGGCAATGGCCGTGCCATGTAATATGCCATGGCACATGGCCAATTTTGGGATTAATCTAGATGCAAGACAAGTCTGATTTCCACGGCAGAGCTGGCCAATTTTAGGATTAAACTAGATGCAAGACAAGTCTGATTTCAAAAGAGAAGAGGCTGAGCCTAGGAGGCTGAGCTTGAGGCTGCTAGAGCTAATCTCCAATGTTATCTTGGAAGCATTTAGAGCTTAAACGTTATTGGGTAAACTTTCTACACATCTCCCTCTTCTTTTTATGCAAAATTATTGTGTGGTTTCGGGCAATGTGGGGCTCGATTCGTACCTCCTTGGGTTTTGACCGAACCTATTAGTTTAGTTAAGGTCTTGAAAAGTTAAATCAAGTCTCTAAACTTAGGTTTATGAGTTTTTGTAGTGATGTAAATTTTTGGTTAGGGTTTAAACGAACCCTATGTGAAAATTTAGAGTTTTGAAATAATGTGGGTAAATCATTGACAATATTAGCATGTTTGGATGTTAAATGGGATTAAAAGAGTCTGTTGAAATAGTTTAAAATTGATAAAATGAATTTTTAGGTAAAATAGGCACTCAAAATTAGTGATTTAAGAGTTTAATTAGAGAGATAATTGACAATTATTGCTTAATCATGTAGATTAAGTATTGCTCAAATGTTGTTGTGCGTGCGAATTGTGTGGAGCAAACATTAAACCAAGGTAACCTTTTTTGTGACAAAAAGGTTGAGGTAATTGTTACATCCCGATATTAAAGGTATGACCAGCATGAAATATAAGTCATCTCATATTTCATAAGCCTTAATTGGTTCAAAATTAAGCTAAACTATCAATATATAAGTTATATACAATAATAAAGTTTGTGCACTTTTAATGTTTTGTAAAAATTTTGGTAGAGTCTCTCCAGTAATTTAAATCTCCTAAAAATTTTCATAATAATATAAACCTGTCAACTAGACCAATAAGAGAGACTAGCTCCATAACAGCAAGCTATCTACTAACAAAATAAAAATTTGACCGAACTATGATTCACAATTACAAAATACAATACATAATTTTACCAAAAAGGGATAATTACAATGTGCTTCCTCTTTTCAAAAGTAATAGGACCCCTCAATGATTTGCAAAAGGAGTAGGGTTAGCTATAATATTTGAGACAAAAAAATTTGATGAGTAACGTCCCAATTTATAGTTGAAAGAATTAATAGAAAGTAAATCAATAAGTCAAATATCAAAGATTAGATAAATTTGTAAACCATGAATATATAAATTCAAATAGAATTATAAGAGGTTCAATTTTTCTTTCCTTCTTTTAAATTTCTATACATATTTAAACATCTTGGAGATATATGCATATATTACTCAATATAAAATCAATATATAGTAAAAAGAGAAGTCCAATTTAAAGAAAATAAGTTTGAAAACTCTTTTTTTTAGCAGGACTTAATCACAACGATTAACAACTATGGACACACACAGTCCATAGGATAACTAACTAACAAGTGTGGATACATAATTCACAATAGTAAAATAACTAACAACATGATTACAAGCCATGAAATAATTCAAGCATGGCTAGAAGTCACAAAAACAAGCGTGGGCGCGAAGCCCCCAAAACAAACGCTAGTACAATACTCATGAACATCCATCCTTTTGTCACGTGCGTTAGCCTACGTATGGGCTAGCACTACCTATAAGTATCTTGCTAGTTAGGTATACTATGGCACCCAAGGGCTATCAAAATGTCGTTCGTAACTAATATTTGAAACCAGTCCCCTAATTTAAAACAAGCATGTATGGGTTATAAAAATAAACATTTTGCTCTTTTCAATACAATCCTTGTAAAATAGTATCTTCAATGCTTTCCCACGCATGCACGCCAAGGGCTATCAAACTGTCGTTCGTAACTAATATTTTGAAACAGTCCCCTAATTAAAACAAGCATGTATGGGTTATAAAAATAAACATTTTTGCTCTTTTCAATACATCCTTGTAAAAATAGTATCTTCAATGCTTTCCCACGCATGAATCACAATGAATAATTATTTTCTAACTGTAAGATCAATCATCATTAATGTAATAAATACTTGCAAGCTTTCATTCAAGAGATCAATTCCAATTCCTTTCATAAAATTTAATGGAATGCTAGAATTTTCAAATATAGTGGTTGATAACAAGATTAAATCATAACATCAAATATGTATATTAAAATGAATATGTGTAATCAAAATTTCAAGGGAAGTAAAGTGTTTTGCTTTTATAAAAAAAATTACCAAAGCTAATAAAAAAATTCCACAAGATAAAGAAATTTAAATTACAAAACATCTCATACTTAACAAAATTGTTTATTAAATAATCTATAAAACTACAATATTTTAGAAAATAATTTTATGGATAAATTAGTTGGGATGTACTCATGCATCTGAGAGATTCTCAAAAATTCTAAAGTCTCCTCTCTTAACTTTGTACTTTAATTTTAAAATGCCATTAATTTCCTGACAAATAAAAAATAAAAATCATTTATCAAATACCTTAATTAATTTTTCTCTCTCTTTTCTTCTTCTTATGTTTTTTTCCAAGCAATTTGTAGGCATTTATATTCAATCCAAATAATATTTAAAAATAATACTCTATTTCACCATGTTCCAAGTACACTTAATTTAGTTAAACCATTTGAAAATTCTTAATTTATTCCTATATTTCCTTGTGGTCTATTTTCATTCATAAATCATAATAAACCATATCAACTATCCTTGTGCTTCCTTTAAACTTAATAAATATAATACAAATATCTTATATAATCCTTTCTCCTACTTTAATATTTTAAAGCTCATTCATTTTCATTTTTCATCTTAATTCCAATGGTGTCATTAATTTCCTAACAAATAAATCACAATCCTAAATTAATTATTTATTATTTCCTAATTAAGTA